CTCCACCTGTTGAGGGGCAAACAATCCCCCCAGCTACTCTAGTCGAGTCGCTGGCAGCTGCTCTCCACCCGTTGAGAGGTTGCGCGGACCCCTCAACTACTCCAATGTCGAAGTAGAGAATTGCTATCCACCAGCCGAGAAGGTTTATAGACCTCTCAGCTGCTCCTGACGCAAGTAGAAACTTCCAGGTAGGCTCCCTGTAGTGGGGAACCACCTTCCTCCCGGATCCAACACTTTGCAGAGTCACAGGATGAGGCACAGTGCGCGTACAGGTCCTCGCAGGTCGCTACTCAGCGCCCCCCCCTCTCGGAGGTCGCTACTCGGGATCCCCGCCCGCCGGCAGTACTCGGCGCAGGCGGATTCCCACAGCTTCCCCCCGTCACGGCACTCGAGGGGTCAGTCACGCCTGCGTCGACCCCCGCGACCCGGGGTGCCTCCCCCACTCGTTCACTCCGCTCACTGCGCCCCTCTACGAGCCTGGCGCTCGCCGGCCTGCGTCCCCCACCGCCGATTCACCGCGCGGGTCCGCGGATCACAACCCCCGCCGCCGGGCCCGGATGCCCCGCGCAAGCGGCGTCCTCTGGTGCCCCGATCCGGCGGTCAATTCCCGCGGAATGCGCCCCCCGCCGTCGGGCTCGGCGCGCGGAATCCCAAGCCAACGCCTCCCCGCCGTCGGGCTAGGCGCGAGAAGCAGCATATTGCGCCCCCCTCCTTAGGGCCAGGCGCTCGGTCCGGTTCAATTCCCCTGGCCGATTCAGGCGGCGCCGCGAGGCGCCCATCTGGCCGGCCGTTTCCTTGGATCTCTCGCGAATGGGGGCCCCTCCCGCCGTCGGGCCGGGTCCCCTCGGCTCTCATGCGCCGCGTGGCGCGCTTCCGCTCTCCGCGTCCGCCAGCTCCGAAACCACAGGCGTGGTTTTCGGCTCAATGCGCGGGCGATGTGCCCGCCGCGGCGCCCAATCCGGCCGGAATGGCCTCCTCCGCCGAATGACGGCGGGCGGTCCGGGGCGCTCGTTCCTTCGGGGTGCGCAGTGTGGGCCCAGTCCTGCGATCGGCCGGGCGCGGGGCGGCAGTGCGCGCAATGGGTGTGCAACGCCGGTGCGGCCTGCGGGTGCAACCGCGCGGAGGCGAGTGGTCGGCAAGAGTTACAACTGGTCGGGCATCGGGGCCGCCCTTTGGCATGCCCCGCATCACGTGACAATGCAGCGTATCGATATAATCTCATCCCCCAATACGGTTGTGGAGGTGCCCTTAAGTACTATAACTTCTAATGGCTATATCTCCACTACCGCTAACCCAAATGGAATGATTCAAGAACCTATGGGTTCCTAGTAAGCTCAACTAAGGAATGAGATTGTTCATTAATATTCATTGTACCTTCCAGATACCTATAATCAAAGAAACACACTACCCCCTGTGCTTTACACCACACGTCCGAGGCGCACGGTTGCTGCGCTCGAGGAGGAGGGAGGCTCCAGAACAATCGATCGAACTACAATCGGCGTGGCCGCGCACGCTCTTACATCCCGCAGCACACAATTCCATTAATATTCATTAAACTCATTAATTTCATTATTCGGCGTCGGGGCTCACTGCTCAGCCGGGGGTTTCACGCGACGTTCGCTGCCTTGCCGAGCTTGGCCCCCTACGGGATCTCGCAAGACACAGCCCCACGAGCAGTTCGCCAAAACAAGTGCAAGAAATTACCACACATCTCATCCAATCCTACCAACTACAAGACTTTACTTGTGCCCAACCACCTCTGCATTTTGCTCGGATTGGGTGCTCAGAATGCGCATCAGAATTCACTCCAAATTAGCAAACCAGAATTGGCCATCAAGTGTAGTATGCGCTTTGCCCACGGTAGACCATTCTTTGAGGATCCCCATAGATCAGACAGTTGTATAGTCTCCAAGCACTATTTCCGCATGGTGAGAAGTTTTTCATGTTGCGCTTCATGTGTATGACTGGTTTGAATAGCACCAGCCCCATCCTTATGCACTGCTCGATCATGGATTAATGTATTAGCAACCACAATATTGGAGGCCTATCTCTTGCGCATGTCCTCTAGATCAACATTTTATGGTGGGGAGGGCTTTAGGCATCCAGGTGCTGCCGCCCCTATACTGACGTCAATCCCAGTACTGTGTGCAGTGAGTGCAGAAGCTGCCGTCTCTGGGTAGCGCCACCAAATTGGAGGCTGTTGCATATTGTCGATTATCCCTTGCTTTCAACAAAAAGGTCCTTCAACCTCTTGTTGTGCAAAACTCGGTGATTGTGAAGCTTTCACCATCCCCGCTCAAAATTCTTTGTATCTGCCATTTTCCTACGTTTGTATTCCTGTTGTTGTCAAGAGGCAGCAAATTCTGGACAGAATCCCATTTAGATAAGCTGATGAACCAATCATCTTGCTTTCGAAGAGCAACACACCCTACATAAGGAGCTGCTCTGAAATAGTCCCTTCTCCGCAGGCAGAAAATCTCCACATTCGCACCCCCACTTACCCCTGCAGAACCTGCCCTGTCTCCTTTCCGCTCATGAGCACTTTCCCCTTGCTTCACCCAGCCCACCCCCATCCCTTCCCATCCACACACTGTACCAAAAGATGATACGGACTACTGATACGAGACGGGCCAGGATTGGCCAGTTGGGTGTCAGTATTTAGGGTCCGTGCGCACAGCGTCTCAGCCTCCGTCTGCACTGACCGCTGATGCAGAGGGGGAGAGTACACCCGCACACACAGCCCCTCAAAACAGCCCAAAAAGCGCTACCGCCCAAACCGTCCACCGCAAATCGACCCAACCATGTCCACACTCACACGCGAGTGCGTCCTCACGGGGCCGGGGCGCCGCGAGACGGCCGCTCCTCCCCGCCCCGCCCTCACGCACCTCCCCGCGAGCGGTCTGCGCAGGCCGGGCGCCGCCGGGGCCCCCCGGCGGATCCCCAGGCCCCTGGACGCCGTGGAGTTCACGGCGGACACCGCGGTGGGCGTGGGCGTCGCGGTGCTGGGCCTGGTGGCCGGCCTGGGCATCCCGATCTTTCTGGTCAAGCGGGAGCAGAGGGACGAGCAGAGGATCGAGGCGATCAGGGAGCTGAACAGGGACGCGATCGCGACCACCGGGGAGCCGCTGAGCAAGGTGGGGGACGGGGGATGGCATGTTCTGGGGGGCGGCGGTTGCATGTGCGGAGAGGGGGAAAGCTGCTCTGAGCAAAGAATGAAAACTGCAGAGAGCCACTGGAAAGCGCCACCGGACCCCAGAACAATGTCCCAGACACGGAGTCCATCCGCAGATGCCGAGTAACTTGCGTGTTTGCACGACTGGCGATCAATTGGTCGCCACGAGCGGTGTGGGACGCTCGCTGTGGGCGTGCAGGGCGGGCGGCCTTGACTAACGGTGGAATCTCGCAAAGGGGGTGGGGGATCGCAAGGGAAGACGCGGTGGGGAAATGGTCGGGAGGTATTCGCACGATCGGGGTCGTGTGATGTCTTCGTTTGTCAATGGGCATTGAACCCCTGAGTTTTGGTGCCGATGCCTGGACGAATACGTGGTGCGAAAGGTGCCAGGTTGACTTGGTCGCTTCAGGAGAGCGGAAAGCGGGAAAAGATGACGAGAATTCCATTTTGCTGGGCTGATGCTGGATCCAGTTTCACACATCCTTTGTATGATTTGACGACATGGTCCGAGCAAGGTGTCATATGACGGGAGCAGAATGGACAAAAGCAGCCCTTACTCGCAGCTCCTGTGAATGGGCCCAAACAATGGACTGCAGCGGGACATGGGTTCTTGATAATTGGAATGCAATGACATCAGTGCTGTCAGTGAGAACTGTTCATGTTACTCATGGTTTTGTGTACCAGTCCTGTTGTACTTGAAGCCTACTACCTCTAGTTCTTCAGCGAGGAAATGCTCATGTACAGGTTTTGCACCAAGAGGCTTTGCTCATTATGTTTTCATTTTGTTGGTCGAAAATGGCGATGTGTGGCTTCGGAGGAATGACAACCTGGGCTACGAGTGTCCTCGCTGTGTGGGTTCAAAGACTGTTGTTGGGAAATTCAGCAGCTTGTTATGGTTTACCAGGAAGAAATCGAAGAGATGAGACCCACAAGGTGGACCGACAGAAGGTATGCATCCAACAGCTATGCACAGGATTAGGTTCTTTTTTGATCCTTTTGGAAAACCACATTAGAAAGGCAAGGTAACGTCCTCAAAGGGGGTGGGAGGGGACGACTAAGTAAGTTGCCTAAAAATGGAACTGGTGTTAGCGAATTCCTGCTTGTGTTGGTCAATTGTAGCAAAGCAGCCCTTGCTATTCTAGGCGATGACAGGCATCTCTTGTTTCTCTGTATCTCTTGAAGTCCTATATGGGCAATTTGGCATTTGTGTGAAGTCTCAAACATTGTTTTCCTCTGCCCTGGAACACATGTTAATAGTTGGCATGTTTCTTCACTCTGAGATAATGTTTGATTTGGAGTGTTCAGGTGTCTCCCCTTTCCTATTGGGAGAGATGCCAGATCGGACACCACCACAAATCTTGGTGCTGTTGTCCTTTTGTTTGCTGTTGATTGAACTTGCATGCCACCTTGTTTTCCTACCAGAGATCGTCTCACAGAGACGGATGTGTCCAACGTGTCAAATACCATCGCATGGCAATGGCGCATATTGGGAACATATGTGCATGGTGGCATTGCTGTCAATATTCGAACGTGTGTCATCAACTCCAGTGGTCAATGTAGTCTTTCAGGCCTTGCTGGACAGAGGCAAGCTGAGCAATGGTTCTTTGCATGGTGCAACAGGGATTTTGTGGATGATTGAGAGATAAATGCCTGACTCTGAACAAGTGGCAGCTGTGCATTTTTAAGCAGCTGCTGATCAATGGGTGCACAGCATATTCATTTTCGAGTCTGTCGAAGATATGGTGGCAAGTGTGGCATAGTGTGTTGGAGAGAATTTTTGGTAAAGGGATTGGTTATTCTGTTGGTGTCACAGGACAATCACACACGCATGATCGCAGGTGTCTGGGCCTGGTGCAGCCTTGCAAGACATTATCTTGCAGACCATGTTTCGTAGATACTCCATGTGCATTTTGCTCCACGTGTGTATAGAACCGCAGCTCGCCCATTCTTGAGGCAGGACAGCGTTACGCCTAATAGAACGCATGCAAAGCTGGAGCAGGACAAGCTTGCCACCTTGCGATTCGCCTGCACGTAATGCCTTCACATCCACCAATATCTCATCAGAAGGTGCAGAAACCCACTGTACCAACATGATCACTGCCAGAGCGCAACGAATATGCAAGACTATCACCTTCAAGAATGTCCACAGTAGCAGAATAGAAGTAGCAGAAGTAAAAGTATAGCAGAATATAGTAGCAGTAGCAGAACATCAACATGTAATACTTTGGAATTCCAAAAAAAATACAGTATATATACATTTGCGGCAGTGCACGATGCATTGCGGCCAGTGTGCTCATGCCATCAGGTTCAGCGGAAATAACATTACTGCCTGCACCGAATCGGTGACTCTGTGCACCAAATCACGTACGCACTAGGTTCTAGCCTATGTTTTAGGGTCAGGTTTAGGTTTAGGGTGAGTTTTGGCGTTGGGTTAGGGTTAGGGCTAGGGTTTTATAGGGGTTATGGTTCAGGTTTTAGGTTAGGTTAGTTTTGGAGAGATTTGGTGCAAACAGTCACCGATTTGGTGCAGGCAGTAATATTGTTTCTGCCTTACCGGTCTCCTTCAACCCCCCCCGTGTTCCCCACACGACACTACATTACAATACTCACAGTTTGGTGTCCATCACCTCACTAAAACAAGACCCGATTGGCGACCCACTTGAAATGTGCCCTCGCTTCGCATAGTACTTAATGCCACTCTGATGGTGACTCAACCCAGAGTCAGCTCCCCTTTCCTCGTACTCGACTCCCATTCCATCCCACAGCTAACCGAACTCACTCTATTAGGGTGGGCCGGGCGGGTGCGAAACAAGATAAAGGGGGGCGCCACGGGTCGCGCCTAAAATAGCCGCTCCCACTTGCCGCCAAACTCCCCGCCAAACCCAAGGGCCAGCTTGACCGGTCCCCTTGGCTGCGCCCAAGGTACAAGGATCAACCCCATCGCCCTAGGATGCGTCGGGCAGTACTGACCCCGAGTACAGGGGTGACAGAAACCGGCTGATGGATGGCCCAAACTGTCCCAAAGGGCGGAACGGCCCGACCTAGCCGTTGCGCGCCCACCCAATCGTCGTCCTAGGCAGAAACTCATTAACAGGATAGTTAATTCTATTTCTGCCTTACCGGTCTCCTTCAAACCCCCCCGTGTTCCCCACACGACACTACATTACAATACTCACAGTTTGGTGTCCATCACCTCACTAAACAAGACCCGATTGGCGACCCACTTGAAATGTGCCCATTCACACTGGGGCACGGTGCAGCTCCTCCGGAGCTAAGGCGTGGTCATGCCTTGGTCACTCTTGGGCCGATGACGCCCC